GGCACAAGAGCAAACCTCGGTTTCAAAGAAAAAAAATAATTTTTTTTCTACTTGGCTTGAAGACACAGAACTCAGACCTCTCTTTCTGTGAAGTCACAATGGGGTCTGCAGCTCGCACGTTCAGTTGCAACTAAGGCTCCCAGTTGCTATGGGCTGAGGAGGCAAACGTAAACAATAGCTCAGAATTGCCCTATTAACTAATAATGATTAATATCCAGTTACAAGTGGCCTAGTGCATTACTGTCGGAGGTGGCGTCCTATTTCAAGTTGTCAATGTTTATTAAGAACGGAGACATGATGACAGATTATCACATTTGTAGACATCAATAATCTGGTAGAGATAATATGTTGGATAGCAGAATCAGAATATAAAGAGATCTTGGCAGGCAGGACCAAATCTAATGAGGTGGGGTTTTTTTCTCTTTTGTTTTTTCATTTTTTAGAGACAGGGTCTCTATATGCTGGAGCACAGCTGCTATTCACAGGTGCATTCATAGCACACTACAGCCTTAAATCCTGGCCTCAGATGATCCTCTCATGTTAGCATCTGAAGTAGCTGGGACTATAGGCATACCCCACTGTACCCAGCTAAGATGCAGTTTAAATGGGTCAAATGCAAAGTTCAGTGCAAAGATCAAAAAAAAAATAAAGTTGCCGGGTGCGGTGGCTCATGCCTGTAATCCCAGCACTGTGGGAGGCCAAGGCGGGTGGATCACTTGAGGTCGGGAGTTTGAGACCAACCTGACCAACATGGAGAAACCCTGTCTCTACTAAAAATACAAAATTAGCTGGGCGTGGTGGTGCATGCCTGTAATCCCAGCTACTCGGGAGACTGAGGCAGGAGAATTGCTTGAACCCAGGAGGTGGAAGTTGCAGTGAGCCGAGATCGCACCACTGCACTCCAGCCTGGGCAACAAGAGTGAAATTCCATCTAAAAAAAAAAAAATTAAATGACCACTCATATCTAATATCAAGTATTAGGAAAGTATGAGCAAATGGCTTATGGCAGTCTTACAAGGTTGGTGGGAATCTAAATCAATTTAGGGCAATCTGTAAGTACATATTACAATTTTTTTTTTAACAGTGTAAAGAGGCTTTCTTTTTTGTTGTTTATTTTGAGATGGATTCTTGCTCTGTCACCAGGCTGGAGTGCAATGCCATGATCTCGGCTCACTGCAACCTCTGCCTCCTGGGTTCAAGTGATTCTCCTGCCTCAGTCTCCCAAGTAGCTGGGACTACAGGCGCCCGCCACCATGCCAGCTAATTTTGTATTTGTAGTAGAGACGGGGTTTCACTATGTTGGCCAGGATGGTTTCGATCTCTTGACCTTCTGATCTGCCCGCCTCAGCCTCCCAAAGTGCTGAGATTACAGACATGAGCCACTGTGCCTGGCCATAAATAGTTTTTATATTGTGTATATGTAACATTAGACCAAATTATTTAAAGTCAATACATTTTTATTCAAGGAATTCCATGTTGTGATTTCTTCCACTGTCCATCAAGGTCACTTCAGATCCTCTAAAGAGCTGGAGTAAAAAGATTTATCTTCAAGTTAGCCTTCTTAATGAAACTGATCCAGTTGTCCTGTCAGCGCATAATTACTTTGGCTTCCTGTCAGCTCCTTTTAATATGGATATACTGATGAAGACTTCAAAATTCACCAAGAATCTTTGGGATCTAATTTCTTCAACCAATTTACTTTAGGGTCCTTTATAGTGTAGGTGGTGGGGATCTGCCTGGTTCTTAATTTGACACCTTAAGCGATCACACTCAAGAATAGTACAGATGTGTGGAATATGCCAATACCTTTAACTCCAGACATCATGTTCTCAAGATAAAAGCCTTTAAAACAAAAAGCCATCGATAGCCAACAAAGTGCCGTCAACCTGAAATTGGAATGCAAAATTAATACTGCTGAGGATTTCCCTCATATCCCATGCTGTTCATCTATTCCACAGTCCTAGAATCAATCTTTTTTTATTAAGAGACAAGGTCTTTGCTACCCAGGCTGGAGTAGAGTGGTGCCATCAAAGCTCAGTGCAGCCTCCAACTCCTGGGCTCAATCCTTGTGCCTCAGCCTCCCCTTCCTGAGTAGCTACAACTACAGGCACATGCCCCAATACCAGCTAATTTTTATATTTTTGTGGAGATGAGGTGTTTGTTACTTTCTTGCACAGGCTGGTCTTGAACTCCTGGTTTCAAGCAATACTCCCACCTCGGTGTGGGGATTGCAGGCTTGAGCCATTGCACCTGGCCTGGAACCAACCTTTACGGCTATCAATACTCCCATTAGTTAACTGTCTCAGGTATTATAATATCCCTTCTTATATGTCTCAAAACTCATACTGAACAATGAGTTCTAGGTTGCAAAAAGTACATATTAAATTTTTAAATGCCGGGTGCGGTAGCTGACACCTGTAATCCCAGAACTTTGGGAGGCCGAGGGCGGATCACGAGGTCAGGAATTTGAGACAGCCTGGCCACTATAGTGAAACCCTGTCTCCACTAAAAATATAAAAATTAGCTGGGCATGGTGACACGCACCTGTAGACCCAGCTACATGGGAGGCTGAGGCAGAAGAATCGCTTGAATCCAGGAGGTGGAGGTTGCAGTGAGCCGAGATTGTGTCACTGTACTCCAGCCTGGGCAACAGAGCAAGACTCCATCCCTTAAAAAAAAAAATTTTTAAACGTGCATACCCTGTGACCGCCACACTTCAATATTTAGACTAGAAGACTCCAGCAGTACAGTGGCTCAATGCCTGTAATCCCAGCACTCTGGGAGCGCGAGTGGTGTGGATACCTGAGGGTCAGGAGTTTGAGCCAGCCTGGCCAATATGATGGAAACCCATCTCTACAAAAAATGAAAAAATTAGCCAGGGCGGGGCGTTTGCACGCCTGTGAATCCAGTTACTCGGGAGGCTGAGGCAGGAGAATCGCTTGAACCCAGGAGGTTGAGGTAGCAATGAGCCGAGATCCATTGCCATGCACTCCAGCCTGGGCAACAAGAGCAAAAACTTTTGCTAAAATAAAAATAATATTATATATATATATTTTTAATTTTTATTTTACCTAGAGAAATACTACCATATAGCACTAAAGGCAAAATATTTTCACTGAAACATTGTAATAGCAAACAATTGGAAACAATCTATATGTCCAACAACAGAATGGTTAAGTAAGCTGTAATACATTCATACTATAGGATACAATATAGCAGTTCTTATGAATGAGACAGCTTTATATATATGGAGATGCAAGTTCTCTGAAACATGTTAAGTGTAAAAAGAAGATCTGGAATAATACAAACCATGTGATACTTTTTTTTTTTTTTTTTTTTTTTTTTTGAGACCCGGTCTTTTTTTTTTTTTTTTTTTTTTTTTTTTTGAGACCCGGTCTGGCTCTATTGTCCAGGCTGGAATCCAGTGGCACTATCATGGCTCATTGCAGCCTTGACCTCCAGGGCTCAAGCAATCTTCCCACCTCAGCCTCCCTGTAGCTGGGACTACAACTGTGTGCCACCACACCCGGCTATTTTTTAGTTTTTGTAGACACAAAACTATGTTACCCAGGATGGTGTCAAACTCCTGGCCTCAAGTGATTTTCCTGCCTTAGCCTCCCAAAGTGCTGGGATTACAGGTGTGAGGCACTATGCCCCATCCATTTATGTTTTAAAAGTCTCATATAACTAGCCGGGTATGTTGGCTCATGCCTATAATCTCAGTACTTTGGGAGGCCAAGGCAGGCAGATCACTTGAGTCCAGGAATTCGAGATCAGCCTGGGCAACATGGCAAAACTGTCTCTACAAAAAAAATACGAAAATTATCCAGGCGTGGTGGCATGTGCTGTAGTCCCAGCTACTCTGGAGACCAAGGTGGGAGGATTGCTTGATCCGGGAGGCAGAGGGTGCAGTTAGCTGAGATCACACCAGTATACTCCAGCCTGGGCAACAGAGCGGGCCCGTCTCAAAAAAAAAAAAAGTCCCATATATTTCTACATGTAAATACATAGAAAAAGGGTTGGAAGGATATTTAATCAAAATTAAACCGTGTTTATCTCTGGAAGGAAAGGACCAGGACTTGGAATAACAGCAAGGAAGACTTTGGCCTTGTTTGTAGTTTTTTTTTTTTTTTTTTTTGTCGTTTTTGAGGAGTCTCAGTCTATTGCCCAGGCTGGAGTGCAGTGGTGTTATCTCAGCTCACTGCACCTCCACCTCTCCGCCTCCTGGGTTTAAGCAATTCTCCCCCTCAGCCTCCCGAGTAGCTAGGATTACAGGTGCCTGCCACCATGGCCAGCTAATTTTGTATTTTTTTTTTTTTTTTTAGTAGAGACGGGGTTTCACCGTGTTAGCCAGGTTGGTCTCAAACTTCTGACCTCAAGTGATCCGCCTGCCTTGGCCTCCCAAAGTGCTGGGATTACAAGCATGAGTCACCGCGCCCAGCCTTTTTTTTTTTTTGGTTTTTAATCTGTTATATGTTGTATAAAATTAATGCATTATTATGAAATCAAAACAACCCTACCTTACCCCCAACATAACACCTGTAGGTGTTTGTTAGTAGTCAGATGGGCATCTTGCTATGTTGCCCAGGCCAGTTTCAGACTCCTGGGGCTCAAGCTATCTTCTGCCTCAGCCTCTCGAGTAGCTAAGACTACAGGTGTGCACCACCATGTCCAGCTTAGGTGTCAGTTTGATGTGAGTCAGTAGCATAAGTAGTGAAGAAAACCTAAGGGGGCCTTGGGCTCTCTTATGGTCCAGGTCTACAAGCAAGCAGATAATGGTTTAGTTCTTTTTGGCTTGGTGAGGCCACATCTGGACCAAAGTTAGACAGGCACATTGGCACATTTGAGCTCATCCAGAGAGTAGACAAGGTGATGCCAGGAGTCCACACTATGTCAAGGAGGACTAGCTAAAGGGAGGAGGAACGTTTAGGCTGTTGTAGAAAGAAGTGATTCTTGGCCGGGCACGGTGGCTCAAGCCTGTAATCCCAGCACTTTGGGAGGCCGAGACGGGCGGATCACGAAGTCAGGAGATCGAGACCAACCTGGCTAACACGGTGAAACCCCGTCTCTACTAAAAAAAATAAAATAAAATACAAAAAGCTAGCTGGGTGAGGTGGCGAGCGCCTATAGTCCCAGCTACTCGGGAGGCTGAGGCAGGAGAATGGCGTAAACCCGGGAGGCGGAGCTTGCAGTGAGCTGAGATCCGGCCACTGCACTCCAGCCTGGGCGACAGAGTGAGACTCTGTCTCAAAAAAAAGAAAGAAAGAAAGAAAGAAGTGGTCCTCAAACTCTTGAAGTTTTCATGAGGGTGAAGATAGTAGATTTCAAGACACTGGAGTTATTCAAGAGACTAAATGTTCACTTTCCAGGGATACTGTGAAAAAGATTCACTGAGGAAGCATTCGTTGGAACTAGATTTTTTTTTTTTAAGAGACAGGGTTCTGCTATGTTGCCCAGGCTGGTCTCTTAACTCCTAAGGTCAAGAGCTCCGCTTGCCTCGGTGTGCCAAAGTGATGGGATTACAGGGTGAGCCACGTGCCAGAGTGATGGGATTACAGGGTGAGCCACGTGCCTGGCCTGGAGCTAGATGATCTTACAGTTAGCTTCCAACTAACTTTATTTCAATGTATTTCAAGTTTCCTTGGCATCAACCAGATTTATTGAAATTTAAGTCCCTAAAACTGTCTTTTGAGTTGTTTTATTATAGAGAGGATATTAACCAAAAGGTACTTTGGCACACTACAAACTGGAAGGAATAATCTCAATATCATGAGTGCCAATTAAGTGCCTCAGAGAATACAAAGATGACTATAACTGGAATGCTTAACAAGTATCAACTGAAGAAATGTAATGAAAATTAAAGTTTAATTTGTTTTTCCCTGTCTCTGCACAATTTATTTCAGTGAGGTTTTCCTCGGATGTGGATCACCTTTAGGTAACAGTCTTTGCAAACACTTTAAGTAGCAAAACATACTCTTGGTTCAGAAATATATTAACACATGAGCTTTCATCATCAGTAAGAATCTCTCTACCCCACAGCTAGGGTCAACAGAGCTAGCCAGCTCGCCTCTGTGAAAGAGGGGTAGTTGGCTTCTCTCCTTTTGCTACACTGATATTTCTAGGAATGGGGCAGAATGAAGAAGGAGGGTTATTAGCGGCTTCAAGCTGTCTAGGCCTGGCTGATGTTAAGAATTATCTCATAAGCATTTGTATGTCTCCATCAGAGGCTTCCCTGAGGGCGCTTTCCAAAGGCAGTGGCAACTTCCTGAAGTGAGGTGATGTATTCCATTTCTATGGCCACCACTCTCTCACCATCCTTTTGTTTTCCAGTGGTCTTTTCCACATGAAGAGCCCCACTATGCATCCAGAGAGTTCTCTTGAGTAGGATTTAAACTGGCTCCACACATGGTCCACAGGATTCATGTATATGTGACCCTTTATCAGAAGCCAGTGTGGCGACTTCCAGGATGTGACTCTCTACTTTGCTACCTCAGGCTCTGTCTTTGCCTTGAAATTCCTCTACTGTGAGTCATACACAGTCTAATGATTATCCTTGGATACAAGGACAAATACAAAATGTTTCAGTGGTCTTGAAGCCACTTTAGGATTGAGAAGACAGAATTACTCCTCCCCTTTTTTTTTTTTTTTTTGGAGACGGAGTTTTGCTCTTGTTGCCCAGGATGGAGTGCAGTGGCACGATCTCAGCTCAGTGCAACCTCTACCTCCCGGGTTCAAGTGTTTCTCCTGCCTCAGCCTCCCAAGTAGCCAGAACTACAGACACCCGTCACTGTGCCTGGCTAATTTTTTGTATTTTTAGTAGAGATGGGTTTTCACCATGTTAGCCACACTAGTCTCAAACTCTTGACCTCAGGTGACCCACCCACCT